TTTTTTTTCAGCTTGCAGGTTGAACGGAAAAATATAACCATGTATGTCCAGCTTTCGTTAGAAGCTGCCCCCTTTGTAGTCGGGTAATCCGGCAATCGTACAATAATCGATTGGTGTATGGAAGGCGTACGACCGTTTCTACTGTACGGGCGCACGTTTTTTGTCTAACTAGCATGTTTGAAACCCCGCCGAGAATCGTACTATTGTCGGCGGGTTTGTGGCGTGCTCGGGAGACAAATGCCGAACCGGCCGGTGTGCGCAAGCGCACTGCCCGTTCAGCATTGCAGTCATCGGGAGCCTGCCCCCCCGGGGGCAGGCTTTCGATGATCGCAAGTACGATCTACCTGTCCAAGATGGGCAGATCGTACGAGCTTTTAATTAGCTTACTAAAAGTCTTGAAATGCTTGTAAGGTGTATGGGCACCTTTAAGTCTTCAGGCTTATTGGTTGCTTACTACTATAGTGCAGAACCCCTATTAGGCACATGCCCATTGGTTGGAGATGAAACGGATAATGTTCATGTATCTGGACTTTGGTTAGAGCATAGGAAAACAATATGCACCATTTCTTATGTTAGAAGAAGGAATCACATTTGTTTTGTGTTCTTGCCACGTTCGCAATTCTAATCCAACTGCATTTTCACTGACCGTGATATACTTGACCTTGTCCATGCAGTATGTGCAAAATATTAGAGCTGCAGCTAACGATTATTTTCAAAATCGATTAGTTAGCCGATTATTAAGTTCGGTTAATCGGATAAACTATTAGAGCTGCAGCTAACGCTTATTTTCAAAATCAATTAGTTAGCTGATTATTAAGTTCGATTAATCGGATAAACTATGAAATAAAGTTTAAAAAATGGCTCCAGTGATAGGACTACTAGTTTGTATTGAGGTTATAGTCCATCACAGGAGCAAGCTTGGACCGGCGGACGTAAAAAAGAAAAAAAGATAGTGTGGTGTGCAATATAGTGAAATGGAAAGTGTAAAATTATACAGCAATGAATGCAGAATGGCACTGGCTATAGAGGACTACAAAACCCAGCAAAACCACATTATACAGCACAATGCAGAATACCGCCAGCTATAGAGGAATACAACAAATCCCAGCAATAGTACATAATAGCTGGCGGCATTCTGCATTGCGCTGTATAATGTACTATTGCTGGGTTTTGTAGTCCTCTATAGCTGGTGGTATTTAGCATTGTACCACTTTATAATGTATTATTGCTGGGATTTGTTGTACTCTTCTACAGCTGGTGGTATTCAGCATTGTGCAAAAGCGCAGTTATATTTGAAGTGATACTTTCAAAGCCCATCTTCTTTTCCTATGTTTGGCAAGGCTGTCCTGTTCTAGCAGGGCATCATTGTATATTTTAGTTTCTTCTTGTTGCAGTCAGAATGAGCGGTCCTGTGATGACTTGTAAGAGAGCCAGCTACTCCCACTTACCAAATGAGTGTGTTCTTCTGCTTCCAGTACATGACTCGCTAGTTTCAGGAGATGTTCTCGGCTCTGCTTTGGAGTCGATGTTCCAAGTCTTTGGCTTTGTGATACAGACCAGTTTCTTTGGTATATTACTAGTTCGGGGGTGCCTCTGCTGGCAAATGGAAATGTATCATTTAGTTATAGATTGCTAGCATCAGATATGTGCTACTTAAAACCGATCTGAGGAAGTATGTTATTTCAAAGGAAATGGGATTGTTTGGTAATTTTATATTCAGTTGGGGAGATTATGTCTGTATAGCACAGGGTGCTTAGGACATAGTGATCCACACCAGTGGGGTGCCTGGTAAATTCTGGTATTAAAAGGATACATTTACAAAACAGTGATTCAGACTAGTATATAGTAATTGTTTGTACTCCTACTTTTATTGCAGTACTTGCCTTTTAATAAAATTCTTGATCACCTATCCTGTCTCTGGTAGCTTATCTACTGCACTCACACTATATGAGCCACATTAAATGATACTAGCAAGTGTGTGCCTGTTCCACAAGTGTCATAGGCACAGTTGTGAAGGGTGGTGCAGCCATGGTAGTGAAAAGGGATATGAGGTTGTGCATGCTTTGTGCAGGGTGAGAGATGGACCGGAGAGTGAGGTGGTAGGGTAGTAGTGGTGGTGCTGGTTTGTTGGTGAGACTGCGGTAAAGTGTGCACAGGCATATTGTGGAGAGGAAGGATAAAAGTGTGGTGGCGATGTGGGTGTTTGGCAGGCATAGAGTGTGAGTAGATGCATGCACATGTGAAGCTGTAGGAGGGGGTACAGGAACACAGGGGTGAGAGCATGGTGGTGCAGTTGTAGTTAAGGAGTTGCAGTTGTTTTGGTAGTAGAGAAGAGTGGAGCAGCCATGATGGGTGATAATAGAAGTGGGGTGCGGTTGGTGGTGAGAGAAGGGGGGTGCCGGTTTCTGGGAATGCAGCAATTGGTTGAGATTGCGTGGTGCCTCTATAGGTGGATTGATGAGAGATGAGGAGTAGGAGGGCATACACATGGTGGGGTGGGAGCATTCAAAACTGAGAGGTATGAGATGCTGGCACTCTGGTTAGACGAGGGGGTAGCATGCACAGATGCAGGAATGGTGGGTAAAGTGTGATGGGTGTTGAAAGAAAGGAGGATGTAGGTGTGCTGTATGGTAAGAGAAGGCATGATGGGTGGTAAGAAGTGTGGGCGCGGTGGTTGGTTAGCGTTGGGGTATCAGCATGCGTTGTTTTATTTAACGTGCAGCCTGTCTATCCTGGCTCATCAACCAATAACTGAGTTCTCCATTCCTCTTGGTGCCGGATTTAGACATCGCACTGGCACTATAACATTTCTCGCTGTCACCACTGACCTTCCTGGCTGTGCTCAGGTGATTTATCAATCGATTTTTGTTTTAGCTGGCTGGTGGTTGCAGAATTCCAGCTGAATCGGCCCAAATCTGAGTTGTGTATGGCCAGCTTCACTCTGTTGTATCTAACTTACTGCAGAGCAAAAGTGTTAATAGGCCCTTAAAACAGAAAAAAAAAGTGAAAAACCTATCCCCCGCTGTCCATACCCCAGATATTCTTGAAAAGGTACGGCCTCCAGCAGAATTTTCATATCTGACTCTTTGGGCATGCCTGATGCCTGCACCCCCTGCGCAAACTATGGTTTCATCCTCTGGCCATTATGTGACTGCTGTGTCCTGGAGTGACATAAGGGCCGGTGGATAAACGTAGTGTCACGGATAACGCAGGCATCCAACACCCTTGAAGTATGACTGCTGGAGCCTGTAACTCTTTAAAAGAACAGACGGCATACCTACTGCCATGGTGAATATTATTGCTGTTCTTTTACATGGTCCTACAACCAACACATTGCTTTCCTGTTGTCATCCTTGCATGTGTGCTTCTAATCTTGTCTCATTGGTTGCTGCAAATAGAATTCTTGAAGCCTGTTTTCTCTAAAAAGGTCCGTAGTTCGTGGTGGTAAATAACAATTCTAACAGTGCGGTTTAGATGTGCCCTAGAAGAAGAAGAATAGCTGGAATTTCGGATTTTTGAACCAGCAGCACATTTGACTGGTGACATGTCGATACAAGTACGAAAAGCCTGTGTGTGAGAATCATGCTTTGGTATGAGATAGAATGGGGTGGGTTTCAGTTTTACAGCCCACTGTGAGTAACAAGTACTTTGAAAATAGCCATACGCTGTGTTTTCCGGTTTTATTCAAGTGGAACTTTGTTCATTTGGATGGGTGTACATTTGGCCATCATTTAAAAAAAAAAAACCTTTCCATTTTGCAATACATAAACATTTCCCCCATATGTCTGTGAAGGTTCTCATTCATCCAGGTCATTTTCCCCATGTTTTGTCTCTTTAAAAATACTGCAAGGACAGAAAAAAGCCTGTCGATCTGTCAGAAAACCAGTGTTCCCCTAACTTCTGTAGTGAGTTGACAACATTGCCTCTGCTACAAAGAAATTGCACACATTGTTTACACTTGAGTTTGCCCCTGCTGGACTACATACCACTTCCCCTTTTTATTGATGATGATGATTGAGGATGATGATGATGATTGAGGATGATGATGATGATTGAGGATGATGATGATGATTGAGGATGATGATGATGATTGAGGATGATGATGATGATTGAGGATGATGATGATGATTGAGGATGATTGAGGATGATGATGATGATTGAGGATGATGATGATGATTGAGGATGATGATGATTGAGGATGATGATGATTGAGGATGATGATGATGATTGATGATGATTGAGGATGATGATGATGATGATTGATGATTGATGATTGAGGATGATGATTGAGGATGATGATGATTGATGAATGATGATGATTGAGGATGATGATGATGATTGAGGATGATGATGATGATTGAGGATGATGATGATTGAGGATGATGATGATTGAGGATGATGATGATGATGATTGAGGATGATGATGATGATTACACCCCTAAAGGAGAATTTAGGAAGGGCTGCCAACACTGCTTGTGATTGTAGGGTGGCAGGGGTAGACTTGTCCACTTACTACAGGAAGTTAGGAAGTCGCTTGGGTTCTGGCAGAAAAAACAGTATTTTTCTGTACTAGCAGTATTTTTTAAGAGGCACAAAAATGTACTTATTGCAGAGATGTACTAAGTTGTGTGTTTTTGTTTTAAATTTTATTAGTTGTTGTGATGGGTTTCCTTTAAAAATATATAGTGCTGTCTGGGGAAAATATGTAGGGGCTCATAGTGTGAAAAGACGAATCTGGGAATGGTTGCTTTTATTTTGTGCGAGTGTACAGTAAAGGTGGCCACACACATGACAAACTTGTGTAGATATCCTGTGTAGTGCAGTAACTGTCCTTTACTGGGAATGGAATGGGTTAATTTAGGACTGGTAAATCTAAAGGAGATCAGATTGTAATGGTATGGACAGAAGACATGATTGATATGCTGACACATGTACCTTTCTTTATGTCTGTTAGCATTTGTATTAATGTGTTGCTCAATTTTGCTATATTTCCCCCACAGCTCCGTCTCAACAGCATCAAGAAATTGTCTACTATAGCCTTGGCTCTTGGGGTGGAGAGAACTAGAACAGAACTGCTGCCATTTCTTACTGGTAAGTCTTTTTATATATCTCTAAGATGTCTAACATCGTCAAATTAAATTCAGGAACAGAAATGGGTTCCCTCCATACTGTTAGCACAAGGTTAAAAAAACAAAGTTGTCCAAAATTTCTTTTTGTATGCTGTAGCATTAACAGTACCCTTCACCGAACACAGTGCCCTGTTGATGTAACCTTCCCAGGATGCATCATTGGGCCCATTAGATCACTTATGCCAAAGAGAACCAGGAAGTAGAAAACAAGAAATTGTAAGCAAAATTAAAATCTGTTTAATGAATATAAGATTATTTCATATCAACATTCAGAGCTGCATGCTGATGTGAGTTTTAACCGAAGGGGGTAAAGATCTGGATGTGCATGGTAATCATTGTGGGTAAAGCACTCATTAGATGGTAATTCAACCAATGCAGAAACAAGATGTGGCCTTAAAAAGTGAATCTTGTAGATGGTTCAACTTTAATCCGAAATATAAAACCAGCAAAACAAAGCCAGCTCAATGCATTTTGGAGCAATCAGCAGAGGGCTCCCTCTTCAGGAGCTCTAGTTCTGACCCGGTAGGGGTCTATCGGAACGTACCAAAGAGTACTGCTTACACACTGATAGCCGCAGTCCACCTCTGCAGACTGCTGACAGGGGACAGGCTTTTCTACTGTGGCTGCTTTATGAACTAAACAAAGGGTAAGACTGATCACTCGGGGAAACCTTTAAACCAGTATTTCGTTTTATGGGGGTTTTTGTCATATTTTTATTTTATCTTTATTTATTTTTTGTTGAAGACCTGAAAAATAATGGGAAGAGGGGTAATACATTTTATGACGCTTGATATTCTATTCTATTCTATGTATGCTGATGGCAAATTGTACTTTCTAGAAGTCAGCACTGGAAATGTTTTGCTTATTAAAATCCTAAACCAATAACAGTGTATAAATCTTAGTTTATGACGGTGAAGCAAAATGGGTCCATGGTATTCTTGTATACATAGTGTGTATGTTTTCAATTCCAGACACTATATACGATGAAGATGAGGTACTTCTGGCCCTTGCTGAGCAGCTGGGAAGCTTTACTACTCTGGTTGGTGGACCTGAATTTGTCCACTGTCTTCTTGTAAGTAAAAAAAAAAAAAAAGCTTTGCTTCATCCTGTTCATACAGTTGTGTTTAAAGTGTGTTTCCACTTTTGTCTTTGTAGCCAACCTTTTGGAGCTTCTCTCTATAATTTAAGAGTGACCAGAAACTCTTTCTGTCCTCATAGAAAGATAAGGGAAACTCTGAGCTTCCACTTATCATACAATGCTTCTAGATCTTTTACCCTAAGGTAGGACAGACTTTGTTGAAATCTAGTTTACGACTAATGAGATCTGCCAGCACAGTACACACAGGGGTAATTGGGTTAAAATTACCTCCCCACCCCCCCTTGCATTCCAGAGGAAAATTCAGTTTAGAGAAACCTTGCTTTCCTGAAAGAACAATATCATGTAAGCCGCACCATTAAAATACCGTATTTATGTCGTGTGAATGAGAACATGTTACAAATGTGAGGTGTCATCCCAATTTAACTGCAAAAATGGAAGTACACTTTAAGCTTTAGCAGGTAGATATTTTGGCCTCATCTGATGCTAGTTTTGTATCTTGGTCTTCATTGCAGCTGTTTGCGCTGTAGGCAGTCCCCAGTTTTCTATTTCAAATACATTTTAATTGAAAGAAAAGGGTTTTCCTAGATACAAAGAGAACAACTATAAACTGGCATGGTCCATGATGCAAAGGGGGGTGAGGTCAGCGAATGTACATACACATTTCGCCAAGCACTGAGCAGGGAGGCGAGGCTGCCCAACATTCAGTGATGTATCATTAGGTACAGCAACAGTGAAGGCAGCAGTTATTGGCATCAAAGTCATCTATATCACCACAGATGAGGGCCCAGGCTGGAGAGGGGAGAAGGTGGGAATTCAGTTTAAAGAAAATCTTTTGCTTTCCAGAAGGAACAATATTATGTAAGCCGCATCATTTCACACGTTACAAATATATCAATTGGGTGTTCTCAGTTTAGCTGCCAAAGTGGGAATCCACTATAAGTTCAATGTACATCATCTTAAAGGAAAAATGTTGCAGTCCTGTGAAGCAGCTGATGAGTGCATAGTGCTCGGTGTGCAAAAAATCATGCAGCTGTTGCCTTGTTTTCACTTTTCTTCATTAGACGTGAATATGCCTTTGAGATAAACTGCCACGGTCTGACTTGCTGAGTACGCAAGTAAAAAATATATCTGACGTATTTCAGCTGCTAAAGGGTTTCTAATTGTCTTCAGCAAAAAAAAAAACATGGTTAGGCCTGCACTTCTGTCAGTTACCATTGCAGTTAAAGAATACAGGCTGGTCAAGGGCCCACCTGCATTAGGCAGTGAAGAAGCACCAGGTCATCCCAGCGTTCTTCCCCTTTTTTGTATGCATATTCACCATGTGACCGGCCTGTGCAAAGCAGCAGAGAACTATAGATATTGCAGGGATATCTCACTTAACTGATATGAGGAAGCCCTTGTAACAATTAAACAAATCATCACGGCACCCGATGATTGCTGTAACAATTGTTATTTTTAATTCCACTTCGGATTGATGGAATTGGCCAATCAGATGCTGCATTGAAGGAGGTTAGACGCAAGTACCAATTTAGAACCTACTGGAAATAGCGGTCAGCTTTTGAAGTGTAATTGTAGTTGGGTTCTATTGTGTTACGTCAGTGTCTTGATGCTCAGTCATTGCCACATGGAGGTGACCAAGCTATATTTCATAGAAGGTGTGGTCATCTGCCCGCTGTGCAGTGTGACCTGGGTGACTGAATCGCAAGAGCGGATGGGCAGAATCGCAATTATTTTTGCATGTAAAACCGTTCGTGTGTATTGTAACTGTACAGTTAGTGGTTTGATTGGTACTAATATATCTGTTAGTATTTTTATTTTTAAATGAATTTTGCAGTCAGTCCAGATTAGAACATACTTGTGATAACATTACCATTTGTCCCACTCTGTTAAAGTGCCAGCAGTTTCTAAAAGAGAAACATATAGCCAAGTCCTACTAGCTATACAAGCTTTAAAAACAAAACGCATGTTCAGTTTTAGCCTCAGCGTAGACAGCTGTGTCCTGTTGCTGGATGGAAGGGGAATGGCCATACTCTGGGCTAATATTCCATGATCTATAACCATACCTGCAGTGATTACAGTGCATACAGGATCTTCTCAGTCACCATGGTAATAATTGAAGTCTTCATTTTTAGGTGTAGAAGCACTTTAAGCCTTCTGCAGCTTTTGCATTGTTTTCGGTATAGTTCTTGCATCCCTGATAAGGCTTCTAAATTGTTGACGTGTATGATTTGCTGATGTGGTTTCAACACCTACCTTTGGGCTACCTGACTCGTGACATTGTTATATGAAGTCATTTGTATTGTATTCTGACTGTGAAAGATTCATAAGGATTTCTTCCTTATTTTAGTATAGTCCATCAAGAAAGTTGTTCTTAGACTGATGCCTTGTCCCTTTTTGTCCTTTGTTGGCTTCAGCTACAAAGCTTGCATCTGGCTCCCCACTTCCCTGCCAATCTACTTTGTGCGTCAGCAAGTAAAGCTGCCAAAGTCTTAGATCTCTTCTGAGCATTTTCCGCCTTCTGAAACGAGCGGCCTGCAAGCACTGCGGATATTGAGACATTAGGTGCCATCTGGGGGGCCCTTCTCTCCTGGCTCCTGTCCCAAACTTGTGTTCAATTTGGCAGCTCTTAAATATTTTTATCAACGTCACCAGCTCAGTTGAAACTCATTTATGTAGGTTGGGAGCAGATGCTGATTGAACAAAACAGGCAGCACCTGGTGGTCTTGCAAGTATACACATAATAAGCTTATGGTGCAGCAAGACTTATAGTAATCAGTGGCTGCTCAGAATTTTTGTACACTCTGAGAAAGTGCTTCAGAAAGTGCTGAAACAAATATGGGGGCTTCCATAGCCAACCTACTATGCAAATGCCAATTACCTGGCTGTTGCACTGCTCCAGTGGTGCCCCTTCTTTGAGGCACTGGGGCAAGTATGTAGACCAGGCATTCAGACTTCACTAGTTGGGTCAGTTTGTTTTGGGAACGTGTTGAATCCAGAGTCTACCAAGCAACATTTTCAGAAGATTAGCTGTTGCAGGCTTTTTCGTCTCCGTACATTTTCCTTAAACTCAAATGTATCAATGTCATGTAATTGGCTTTTATTTAAGCTTTCTTCTGTGTTCTTTGGATTCCTGTACTGTGTCTGTAGATAGGAGCAGGAGCATGCCAACGCATTCTTCTTAACATAGTCATATCTCCAGTTGCAGATTATAGACTAGACCCCCTTGCATTTTCAAACATAAATTGGATTCTATTTTATGTCATAAAAAAGCTCTTAGACTTCCAGTGAAGTATGAGGCAAGCCACAGGCAAGTAGGCACAGTTCTTTAGGTTTGCAGTCTCTGCACAAGGAAAGGTGGCTGAACCGCATTGCAGGCATTTTGCAGCTAAAACTGTTCAGACATATATATTTCAGCTTTAAACATGTAGTAAAGATAAGTGAGCAGCGCGTCCTGGACAATAGTGAATTGGCTTCTGTTAATGGTAGGCAGATATTTGACACCGGAGTTCCATTTTAAAGTGTCATGTAAAACATGAGCGCCTGTTATGGCCATTTTCCAAACACTCAGTGGTAACCTACAGCCAAACTTGATGGCTCCTTGATGGCCTTGGACGTCCTGTAACACATCTCGCCCGACGGAAGCCTCCGTCCTGACAGAGGTGCATGTCTCTAGCATTCCACCCGTCCGTACTGCATACTGCTGATACAATACACCTTTGACGCTCCCTTTCAGATATCTCTTATGTCCCCCCTGGAATCCACCATTTCCAGCTCTTTTACATTGACAAATCTACACTTTCCGACAATATTTTATCCCTTCTCTTGTGCTAGAACCTCCACCTCCCTCCAGTTTTTTTATTGTTTTATCAGCCAAGTGAGGTTCTCTTTATGCCTTTTGTATTTTATTATTTTGCAGTTATATATTTTTATTTCTCTACTGCATCCTGCTGCCTTACTGGTACATATCGTATATAGACATATGTCACTCCTTTATGGAACTCTAACAAGTTTGCCTCCATGATGCTTCTCATGATGTGTTTCCATTTCTGCTTTCGCATTCGCAGATGTTTTATAATGCGTGTTGTATTGTACTGTTGAAATTTCAATAAAGTTTTTTTTTGCTAAAAAAAAACAAAAACCCAGAGTGCCTCATGGATAAATACTTTGTCTTGTCTGTATTATAAGTGCTCTCTTGTGTGGTTGCTGTCATTCAATACTGTCTTCTGCCTCCAGTAATTCATGTCTTTTAATATAAACAGCCTCCGCTGGAAAGCTTGGCAACTGTTGAAGAGACAGTAGTTCGTGACAAAGCAGTGGAGTCCTTGAGGAAGATCTCTCATGAACATTCTCCTGTCGACCTTGAAGCTCATTTTGTGCCACTAGTGAAACGTCTAGCCAGTGGAGACTGGTTCACATCACGTACATCGGCTTGTGGGCTCTTCAGTGTGTGCTATCCAAGAGTTTCTAGTACTGTCAAGATGGAAATCAGGCAGTAAGTCCAGCTTGGATTAAATTCGTTTTATAAAACTTATTTTTTTTAACCCCTTCATGACTGAGGCCTTTTTTTTCATTTTTTTTGTACCCATGTTATATTCCACATTTTAGGCCTGAAAATTACTTAGATAACCTAAGTATTCATTAGGAAACCATTTTTTGCTGAAATAGTTCAGTGGAACTATAACTAATTTTCATAGTATTGTTTTTAATATACTTTTTTTTAATTAATGTGTATTTTATATTTGTTTATATATAGGCACTTCCGCAACCTGTGCTCTGATGACACTCCAATGGTACGACGTGCTGCTGCTTCAAAGCTTGGTGAATTTGCTAAAGTACTTGAACTGGAGTATGTCAAAAATGATATCATTCCACTATTTACCAACCTGGCTTCGGATGAGCAGGTGAGCTATGGATCATGTCCTATGGGTGGCTTTTCAGAGGATGTCTGAGTATTTCAAGGATAATGTGGTAGAAGTTTTGAAAACCATTTATATGCACTCCTTGTTACATTAGTCTACTGAAACTTTTTTTTTTTCCGATTTTAGTACCCATTAGGTAATTGTTCCGGAAGCGTGAGCATATGCCATTTTTCTGCTCATGTTTCATGTTACACCCATATTTAGGGTCACATACTGCTGGGTGCCGGTCATTTTTTATACTTGGGTGATTTCTCACCTGACCAAAATAATGCAGGACCCACAGCGGATTTGTCTGTATATGTGGCTCAGAATGACCAATGTCCAATACAAAAAGCTATATTGCCAAAAGGCTCCATGATATTGTCTTTCTTGGTGAGGTAATGTGTTGCAGGTGAGTGGTACCATTCAGCTTGCATGTCCCTGAAAGAAATGACTGCAGCCAAAGGTGGTGAGAAGCTGTATATTCCTATGAAAATGCAGCCTCCTACATTGTTCTTTTATCCTTTCAACACAGTATTTGGGAGACTTGATAGCTATTTCTAAAAAAGTTTTATCCCATAGTAACCGAGTCATTTCCATTTTATTTGAATACTGGGAACGTGGTGATATTCTGATAAGCTATGTATAAGGCCTCATTCACAAGGACGTGCTGCAGAAACCTGGGAGGGTTGTGTGCTGCGTGCAGCCTGGGCATCCCTTGACTGTACTCTTGTTTTAAGAGACTTTCCCTTTTTGGCAAGGACACAGGAAACCATCTCTTGCAGAGCTTAAAGCATATTTCCACCTTTTTGTAGAGGTATTTTAAAAAACATATGCCAGCGATGTACACAGAGAGGGCATGAAGCTGGGATATGCAGCAGATGTATATGAACTGTGTATAGGATTTTTTTTTTTTTTTTTTTTTTTTAAATGTATTGTGTGTAAAGGCAGATCTGGTGTTTAGTGATCATGTTACAATGGGTGACGGGGAGGGGGGGGGCAGCTTGATGTCAAACTGATTTTCCTATGGAGAACATGTTTTTTATGAAGGTTTTATTAGGCCTGAAGTCTAAAAATTCAACATGAAGAAAGCCTGTGATGTGAGTCATGAACAGGTGCTCATGTATACATCCTCACTGTACCACAATAAATGCTAGTCACTTACAAAGGTGCAAATGGACTTGTAAAGTAAACTTGTAAGCTATTTTTATTTTTTAAATTTGTACGTTTTGCCTAAAAGAAAACCTGTAATGCAATCTATTGCGTTAGCCAATTAACTCTGTGGGGGAAATTTATCAAAACTGGCGCAATGGTGCCTGGCAATCAATCAGATTCTCTCTTCAATTTGTTCACTTAAGATTTGAAAATGAAAGAGAGAAGCTGATTGGTTGCCATGCACAGCTGCTCTAGATTTCGTCTGCTCCAGTTTTGATCAATTCCCCTCTGTGTCTCACTGATTTAGTTTGTTTATTTTTGATGCATAGCCCTGACTTTTTGTCTAAGCTATTCCAGCTGCACCCCTCCTGTGCAGTGAAAGCACTTCAGAGGTCCTAAAGGGAACTTTTTTTTATTGGACAGGGTGCAGGCAGGTTTTGGTTTCTTACAAGTACAATTACAGGTGAGTAGTCAGGCTGGACTATTTACACTAGGGATGCACCGATACAAGCATCGGTATCGGCCGCGATACCGAGTATTACACCCATTTTTCTGTGGCACACTGAAACGTTCGCCTTTTTAGGTCGCTTCTTTAGCTAGCTAAAAAATAATTCCTCATCTTTCTCCAATTTCTTTTACCCGCAGGACTCTGTGAGACTCTTGGCAGTTGAAGCATGTGTTAGCATTGCTCAGCTTCTTCCTGAAGAAGATCTTGAAGCTCTGGTGATGCCTACACTTCGACAGGCAACTGAAGATAAATCTTGGCGTGTCCGCTACATGGTGGCAGACAAATTTTCTGAGGTAGTAACAAGTTTTCAGCTGAACCTGTGGATGTTGCTTCTATCCGCAACGTGTGTGTGTGTCAAAGTGTATTCATTAAATATATTTTTAGACATTACTAGTGTAAGTACCTGACTTTGATTTAACAGCAGACACTTGCAATTTACTGTCAGCATGGAGGAGTCTGGCAGAGAGAGCCGCATCATAAGGAGCCAGTCAGTTGTGCTTATGTGTGTCAGAGATTTCATCATTCTGCTGCCTATATATATTTATGATCAATTTTCAAGGTTACCTGTAATTATTTAGTTAAATATGTGTTAAGGATATAATTAGGCACAATTAATGGTATTTTTATATAAAGACACATCACATTTTGATCAACAAAAGGTGACTCCCTTTTCACTTTGATAAAATATTGGTGGCGCACAGAATATTTGGCCCACAGAGTATTGATTTATGGAAGGTACCAAATCACTGTTCAAGTTGAAGGGTTTAAACCGTAAAGAAATGGAAACACTAATGAAATTAAAATTAACAGGTAGCTAATAATAAAATGTAATTATAATATGAGACACTCACTTTAAAGGGTGAGAACTGGGAAGGCTGGCCCTGCGCAGATATAGATTGGGTTATGGATAATGGGTATAATATGGAGGTTAGAAGGGTTTAATGTAATGTTTTGTTTTAATGTTGATTGTCCGGTATGTAAAATGTGTGAAACTTGGATCGTTTATAAAATAGAATTTATGCAATTTTGTTTGGCCATGGCTTTAACCCATTTAAGTAACCATCTGTTCTTGGCTTGTCCGTTACAAGTAAAGCTGTATTTTTAGGACATACACCATAGGTTAGGGGTTTGCGCTCTCCTTTATTACTATAAGATAATTGCGGTGAATAATTGTAAAAAGAGGGTATGAAAGGAGTAACGCCTAGTTTTCTCATTGAACAATTTTAGAGGGGGATCAAGTCTGGCAGGGCAATGCCAATCTCTGAAATGATTGAACAAAAAATACAAATCCTTTGTCACGTAAAACGACTCCCAATGCTTCTTAACCAAGTTTTTCGCTGTCTGGCTGGAGTTCAGCTTTGAACAAATGTGTCCTATTCTAAGTTTAATCTTCAAATGAACTGCACTTCATTGGTACCAGGGTAAGATTGCTTATCTTTGCAAGCTCTCTGTATAGCCAAAGGCCATATAACTGAGCTTAAAGGATAAGTTCACCATTTGCAAAAATTAAAGAAATGCACAATCACAATAAACGACCACACTGAAAATTGCCCATAGGCGACGCTTTTAGCGCTCATCAGTTTAGTGTTATCAATGATTAATGGCCCTAAAATTATTGCTCTCACTCCGACGTTCGCGGTGATATGTAACGTTTGGCGCAATTGTTTTTGCACGTAGGTGCACCCCTCGCATATCTGCATGTGGGGGGCAGAGGACTTTTAAAAAAATGTGTTTTTTTTTAATGCTTTATTTATTTTTTATGATTCCTTAATTTTTGTATTACTTTTTTTTTTTTTTTTACACAACTTTATTGCTATTACAGGGGGGGGTGGGGCTAAGAAGCCCCCTATGTGATAGCCAATTTACATCACAGGTCCATCACAGGTCCTCTTTATGAAGACATCAGGGGTTTCCAAGCTTGTCCATCAGCTTTTGTAGCTCGAAAGTGACACTGAATGCAGGAAGTGATGTAATGTACTTCACTTCCTGCATTCCGGGACTGGAGAGTAGATCAAAGGGAGATCTTGTACTGACCTCCCTTTGATCTCCTGTCACAGAGCTGTGCCGATCCCAGCCGCATCGGTCACAGCAGATCTCAGGACCGGCAACGGCAGTGACAGCTGCTGGTAATACAAACGATCGGGCGTCTCGAGACGCTCGATCGCTTGAATGTAAAGCTCCTAGCCAGCCGTGTAATTAGAACGGCCGGGCCGGGAAGCTGCTCGTCGGGCTCCGCCGTATTTTTAATTATGCATTTCTTTAATTTTTGCAAATGGTGAACTTATCCTTTTTTATAAGGAAAACCAAGTGCACCTGTTCATAAAACCAATACCTGTTAATAAATTAAATGAGTTTAAACATAGCGCATACTTGTGTCTGAGATTTTTTCCTGCTTGCTAACTTGATGGTAAGTTCTTCGTAACTGACGTATACACTTTTTCAGCTCCAGAAAGCTGTTGGACCGGAGATCACAAAGAATGACCTTGTTCCCGCATTCCAGAATCTCTTGAAAGACTGTGAAGCAGAAGTTCGAGCTGCAGGAGCACACAAAGTAAAAGGTAAGCCAGGCATTACTAGATTGGCTCGTTTGGAATGTAATTCATTTGATGTTTTATTTTTTTGGTTACTATTGAATCTGATGCTGCTATATAGTGCATATGGCATTCAATGTAGTAAGGTGATTAACATCTAAAGGCCAGTGCATTCATTTTAATTTTTATAAAATAGAATGATTAACATTGAAACATTTTAATGTGTAGCTGCAGTATTGAATACCTACTGGAAAGTGTAGCTTCAGCTTTCTTCCAATGTTCATTTTGTCGTCATCTTGTAGCAGTTTTGACCTTTCACAAAGGTGCCTTTTATTAATAATATGGTAATGCGCAGGTATCGTGTTTTCTTACAGATTTGAGTATCTAGATAAGTGTATCTTTTTAGGTTTGTATAGAGTGGTGAAGGGTTAAAACATCTAAGATTTTTTGTGTGTGTGTTCTGTGTTTGGAGAGATTCTGTGTTCTGGTGGCAATTTTGTCTTCCACTCTGTCCCCCAAAAAAGGTGTTGCAGGAGGTCTATTTTTAATATTTTGTACAGTCAGAAGCAAACCTTTTTTTTGCCTTAGGTCAGGCCTTTGCTTCATAGGGCTAAGTGATCTAGCCCAATGCATTTCAGTATAAATGTAGATGTCTAGCCACAGCAACTTTTTTTTTTTTTTTTCTTCATTATACTCGCTTGGTAATTAAACAAAGTGTATGAAACCAAGCATAGGACACCTATGTCCATTGTAGCGACCTGTAATATCTCTATCAGTGTCTGCCATAGTTTTACTCATAAGATGCTGAGACATTTTTTGTAGGGAATAACTTTAAATTTTTTTTTGTTTTTGTTTTTTTTTTTTTAGAATTTTGTGAGAATTTGCCCTCTGATGGAAGAGAGACAATAATCATGAGCAACATTTTACCCTATGTAAAGGTAATATTTAGTCTTTTGTGTGTGTTGTTTTTTTACATTTTTACTACCATTTATTGAAATGCTTGTAACAGAACAAATTCTGATCGTCAAATGATGGCTTTTCACAGGTGCCTTAATAAGGCAGAATTGTTATTTTAGTGCAAGCACTATTTTGATTTTTGATAGCACCGGACCGCAAGCATAATGTGCCTTGTGATCCCGTGCGGCCAATTGCATTGTGGCCGGAGGGCGTGGCTACGGTGCCATTCACTTCATTGGCCCTCCTGCCCCTCAAAAAAAGTGAGCCGGCCACAATGCAAGGCAGTGTGTTCTGTCTGGCCAGAATCGGGCGGGAAGGCACTACCTGTGTCGAGTCCCCCTTAAAATCTGTGGCTTTTTAGACCTGGGTGCCTCGATTATTTCCATACGTTAAAAGGGTGCCATGACTGAGAAGGTTGAGAAATGCTGGGTTATACCCTCTGCTGGATTATTTCTCTGTCCCCTCACTTCTTGTACCTACAGGGACACGGCTAACTAAAAAAAAAGAAACTAAGGTTCTAACCCTTAACTGTGTGTTCAGTTTATAATGGGAGATACAAAATATTTGGTCAGATGAACTTTATTTAATTTAGGTGCTTTTAACATGATGTGTCGTCGGTTTACATTTCTCAAAGCTGACTGCACACCTTACCATCGGATTGTAAAATCTCCTGTTGGATTCTCTAACAACTGTGTAGTGCGAGAGCTGCTAAGGTATTGCACAAATTTTTTTCTGTAGGTAGGTTCTACCAGGGTCCTTTTTATTACAAATCCTTTTAGTAATGAATTTTGATACAGCGTTAATGCTTAGAAATCTACACCCCTAAAAATTGGCTATATATCACAAGTCTAAATAACATGCAAATTTACATAAAGTGCAAAACCAAGTGTGATATACACGTATATTTAAAAATGTGTATTCAATATAAGAATACCCCTTGAATATATATCATTAATATAATAAGCATTGAAAAAATGTGTGCGTGCTTCCGTAAAAACGTCAACAAAAATTCCCCAAAAAGTGCTTCTTTGTAAATTGTATGATCAAATTTACGTGTCAGCAGATTTACGCCTTTCATATCTGTTCTGAACTACTTTAGTAATTGGCAGACTGCTGGCTGTATTGAAGTAAACCCACTAGGGTTCTGTGACAGTTAATGAGAGCTTTGGTGACCAGTTACAAGTGGCTGCTGAAAGCTGTTATGACCCGTTTTCTTTTCCTCTGTATATCCTCCTGCAGTAACAGCCTGGCAGTTGATTTTAAAAGTGTGGCCAAATATCCGAAGAGTTAAAGTGGAGCTACACCTTGCTTCGTTTTTATTCCTGAAAACCACCATTTTGTCAGTATGCCATCAAATATACTTGCTACCACAAGATGCTTCTAAGACACCCCTGCCCCACAATCTCCTCCTTTCCTGAGCTTCTCTACTCTTGCATTTAAGTGCATTGATGGACTGTCCCTTTTTTTTAAAATGTATTTATTTTTTGTTCGCTATGCGAACCTACACTCGTCTGATCCTCTTTGAATGCAAACAGGAGTGACTAGCTGCATCATCCTGGCATTCAGAACTCCTGTTGGTGGCATCACACATAGAGTGAATGTGAAGCAGCCAGACCAGAAAGATAACAAAGAGCACTCATGTTAAAGGAAAGAACCCCAAACATTAGTCAGAATATCCAATTATGCTATTAAAGAAAACAGTCATTATGGGTTCATGTTCTACTTTGTCAGGAAAAGTGTGTTAGTTAAACATTGCTCAAATATGAAAACTTTATCAAGTTGATCTTGAGTGCCATGATCTTGACTTTTTAAAATGCATTTTAAAGTCTCAGTCTCTTATCTTTTAGAGACTCCAGAGGTTCCTTGGACTTCTCCTGTTTATTTTGTTCCATGGGCCAAGGTGTTCACACAGTTGTACTACTCTTAGTATAAAATGAACTAAACATCTAACACAGCCTTTCTCGACTTTTAGCCTGAAGGACTAATGTGAGGTCTCAGGGAACCTCTATAACAGACAGTAATCATTGAGCTGTGTGTGTGTGTGTGTGTGTGTGTGTGTGTGTGTGTGTGTGTGTGTGTGTGTATATATAATAAAAGAATACATCATTTACCTCTTGTATGTCAAACCTGGGGTTGCTTTGGTGTCCAGTAACAACCCTAAATTTGCTTTATGTTCAGTGTGTTATAGCACGTTTCCAACAGGAAATGAACCAGAAAATTACATATTCCTATAAAATAAAACCTTTTAATATAAACCCAATGTTTCCAAAAGCACAAATTTCTAAGCACTCTACCTGCTTTTTGCTATTTCTGTAAATAGTTTCGCTCATCCATAGTTGATATTTTTTTTTTTTCTAGAAGTCAAATTCCAAATCCCAACACACAAGACTTGATGCTCCTCTTTATCTTACCTGTATGGTGGATGAAAGGTCAGGTGGTGCAGCAGGAATCTTCCATTGGAAGGCATAAGAGGAGTACAAAGGGGAATACACTGATCCCAATGTGCAGCTCTGGGTGCATGTGACACAGGGCACCCTGCTGCTACTATACCACATTGAGTTAGGACCTTGAACTTATGGCTACACTGTCCTCTAGAAGGAGCCAGGTAGCCCATTCACAGGCAAGACAAATAAACGTGGCGGCAGGAAGAGGCAGAATTGAAAGTAACATTTTGTTTGCATTTTAGAGCTGAGTGCAGAGTAATGATTGTACAGCAAGAAGAGTATGAAATGTTGCTGTTTTTGCAAGCACACAGCATAATAGTGATGTAAGGTGCCATTGGGAGGCTATAAATCAGCTGCTTAGGTGGGCCACGGTTGAAATCCTTGGAGACTTCTCACTGAATCCTAGAGTTGTGGAACCCTAAGCTAACCAGGTCTGTTGCCAAAGGAAAAAACAGACATTGCTAGCTTTGGTCCGATGTAATCTCAGAACTGCTGAATTTTTTCATTTATTTATTTTTTATATTTACAGGCTGGATTCATGCATGTCCTTTTTTTTTTTTCTCTTATAGGAGCTGGTATCTGATACAAACCAGCATGTGAAATCTGCACTGGCCTCTGTAATCATGGGATTATCCACAATTTTAGGCAAGGAAAATACAATTGAGCACCTCTTGCCTCTCTTCTTGGCACAGTTAAAAGATGAGGTAGTGTCTAATTTCTCAGTTTAATTTTTAAAGTCTGAAGATAACCTGTGTGATTTCACATTTCTGCTCGCATCATCTTGGTTCCTTTTCAGGATTTGTGTTTTAAAGGAAGCATTAACTTCATGTTATGATGTTCTGCCACTTATTCCATTGTCCTTTGCGCAAGTCTGCTATTTGCCATAAGACTTTTATATTTAGAGTTTGCAGAATTGGAACACTCGCAGACAATAAAAGCAGTAGGAAGAGGATTTCGATGTTGGTCAGAAAGAGAATGGGACCGCTCTGTATTTGGCAGGGGGCATTTTATAGTCTAAAAAGATTTTCAAGCTATACATGTGAAAAAGATCTTAAGTTTTTATCTAAAGCCAAAGCATATTTTTTATTTGGATAGAGTAGGGAAGAGTGATTCACCCTCTCATTTGTCCTAGTGACCATCGTCTCAGAAATTAAAGTAAGGGAAGATTCAAAATTTGAAGTTGACACCAGAACACTGTGGACACTTTGTGCAAATTGTGGAGGATTCCCTTTTAGACAGATTTGCTCTCACTTGCATTTGTCTACAAGATAGGAGGTGAAGGGGATCACTTGCATTTGTCTACAAGATAGGAGGTGAAGGGGAATCTCCACAAAGAATTGAAGACAGCCCCCCCCCCCCCCCCCCCCTCTTTTTTTTTTTTGTCCCTCTACTCTTTTCAAACTTAAAATTACTAAACTCGGGCGTTAAATCTTTAAACCTGTGGAAAAAGGTTTGGTGTTTGCAGGTTTGGGTTGCTATATTTGCTCAATACATGTATTGACGCTGCTTCCCTTTCTTATTTAATTTTTTGGGGATCTCTTATCTCTCCAAGTATATAAAACTGAATCTTTCTGATTACAGATGCTAGTCTCCTAAATCCTCTGGTTGCCAAAGATCATGTGATCTGGGCTGCTTAGTCGGGAGCATCCCAGAAGCTCTAAAATCCTGGCAGCTATATCATGCAAATACATGCTTTGTTTGGCCAGTTTATTTATTTTGTCCCCCCTCCTCCCATGCCTGTGCTGCCAGTGACAAGTGTTTGCTGCCAGTGACAAGTTAAACCCCTATAGTTGATATTTTTTTTAAAATGGTGTACACCATGTCCTCAGGCGCCCAGTACTAAACTAAAGATGATTGCTGGCTCTTTTAGGTGCCTTCTGTAAGATTCATTTTTTACTTTATTACTGTGAAAAGTCACTAAAGGTGCTCTTTAAATGTTAAATAGCTTCATGTTATTGCACTTTAGCTAAGACGTATGTCACGGCTTTCAAAAATATGCATCTTTTTTGTATCAACTGACCTTATTATAAATTCCTATATATTGTTAAAGGCTGTCATGTCCTTAATAGCAGCCTACCCTCTCTGTAGTTGAGCTGCTTCTTATTGTAGCAGAGGCATACAAGTTTTTGGCCACATCCCATGGTTTAAGTACTTGAAAAATTAAAACCACATAGTATTTTAGAGTGCTATATAGATGGTCGGTGTGGAAAGTACTTGTTGCATTTGCAGTTGCCACTGCCTCCACAGAAATGACATGTTAGTCACTTCTGTCGCTACAGTACATGGCTGCCCTATAAATGTACATTCTGTGCACTTGCCTTTTTTGAAGGGTGGCAAGTGACATCTTTAGGATCTTGAACAGCTTAGGGGGCCACTGTTATGTGAGACTTTTGGGTGTTTCAGGCGGCTTTTTCCCCCAATGGATACTGTGGTACATCCTGTCGGCCCCTTTGTAACTGCAGAATACAGTTCTTATACAATTCTTTTTATTTTATATAACCATTCTATTATTTAGACTTTACATTTATCAAAGAATGCTCTATGTGCAGCCATTACAGCTTTGCAGACCTTAATTAAGCGTGAGTTCAGAAATGTTCTTATTAGGACATTGGTGAAATGACTTCTGTTAATGGTGCTTTTCCAGTCATCTGAATGATAAAGTATACATCGCAATTTCAATCGGGTAATAGCCATTTGTAGCATTAGTTGCCTTGGCTGCGTATTTAAGTCCATTGCTCCAAAGTTTTAAATGCTACTCTAGAGAGAAATGACTAGCACTAGGTAATAGTAAATTACTGTGAACACCGGGACACTAATTTGTGATAAGAGACATATATAGTAGCAGTGGATAGTGTGATGTAATCTGTTGTTGCTTTTGTGGTTTATAATTTAATGGTGATAAAATGATTGTGAAAAATGGCAGAGCTGGACTCAATTAAATGTCTTATCAAAATCCAACTGAATTTTTTTTTGTTTCATTTGTTGAACTTTGTTCCCTAGTGCCCAGAAGTGCGACTGAATATTATATCTAACCTAGACTGCGTGAATGAAGTGATTGGAATACGGCAGCTTTCTCAGTCTCTTTTACCAGCCATTGTTGAGCTAGCAGAGGACACCAAATGGAGAGTGCGGCTGGCAATCATTGAGTACATGCCTCTGCTTGCTGGTCAGTTGGTAAGTACTTGCTGCATACAAAAGCCCAGCATCAGACAAAATAAAATGCGTTTGTTGAAGTTGGCTTTTTAAAGTAGCTGAAGGAAACCCATGCAGACATGGGGAGAAGATGGGCTCCTTCTTTTGCTAGGCAATCATGCTCATACCTTTTTTTGGTACCTTGCTTTCTATATTCATCTTAATCACTTTCATAATATGCTCTCTATATTCTTTCTATGTTAGATTTCCATTATGCTCTGCACACTATCAGGCATCTTAGATCAAGGTTAAAGCGGATATGTCTGTGGTAGTATAAATAATTGCTGGTGGCACATGTAGAAAGCTCTCCCATTATTTCAGGAACTATGTATTTAGGAACTCTTGTTTCCTAAAACTGTCCCACTCATTCTAATACACTGCCAATACAATACAGAGTAGGAGGAATACCTTGCAAGAGCTAAAAATGTTATCACTGTCTCCAAATATATAAGCTGGCCATACACATTACCCTTTTTATTTCCACAAATTGTGTATTTCGAGGACCTACCTTAAGGGCTTGTTCACACCAAGCGCGTTCCAGGAGCAGAGCAGTTACAGACCGGATCAAAACTGCATCCAATGTATTCGAATGGTATTTTGGGCTCTAGTTCACACCGCAGCGTTCAGTTCTAGAGCATGTAAACAAAACTGCATCAAGCCCTATTTTACCTGCTCTGGAACGCATGCAAACGCACTGAAGGCCCATTCTAAAAAAAAACGGCCCGGACCGCATCAAACGCGGCAAAAAACGCAGTATAAAACACTGCGTGTGCAGAAACTCATGCAGATCTGGTCTGCATTTGGTGTGAACAAGCCCTAACAATCCATTTAAGTTTTGTCACGCAGGCCCGTTTACTAAATATTGTAGCTATAATGGACATTGTAAGTTAGTGTAGTATGTATTGGTAGTTAAATAAAAGCACCAGAAAACAAGTCAAGTTTGTAATGAGTCACCGGCACTCCATACAGCATATTGACCACCTTCCTTTACTGGTTGTGGTGCTCAAAGTGATAACATGGATGGCGACATGTCCCAGGATCATCAAAATTGAAAATTGCCAGCACTCAACTTCAAAGCATGAAGTATTATCACTAGGGCTGGTAATGATTAAAATTTTTGTGTTCGATTAATCGAATTTTTTTTAAATTTTTAATTTCGATTCATTATAATGCACATACTGATCCAACTAGATTGGCCTATACACATAAAGCACAGCAATGAAGTAATAAAATCAACAAGGATCACACTAATCCAGCACGTTATTAATCTCACGTGGGGTCAACTCAGAATAATAACGTGCTGGATTAGTGTGATCCTAGGTCATTGTATGACTTCATTGCTGTGCTGTATGTGTATAGGCCAATGCCTTGGCTGGCGCTCGTGCAGAGTTTTAAAAAAAAATTAATTGATCAAAAAGATTAACGATTAATCGAGAAATCGTTAATTTGCACAGCCCTAATTATAACTTGTATTGACATGTCACATGCGTCATCAAGCCACTGTTTTGGGGTCACGCAGGGTCCCTTCTTCGGGGCGACAGTGACCACAAGTAAAGTTTTCTATAACTGCTAGTTTTATCCAGGAAGTGTTGCAACTGCACCAACATCAGAAATTTCAACCAGAAACATCTGCGTGTCCTCCGAGCTTCTGGAACCTAATGTATCGACCACCTTTTTCTCTAGAAAGTAAAAACAAAAGATAGAAAATCTGCGTGTACTTGGAAACAATTCTGTTGCTTAGAAAGGCTTTCATGAAGGACAACTTGACCCAGTTGTCACCCATTTTCTACAGGAGAGGCTGTGATCAGGCAAAATATGGCCACCATAAATAACAGCAGCTTTGTCTCTGTTCTCAGTAATGTTCGCTATGTGTTTGTTTATTTCTTACCGGCTTTCTCATTCTCTGTTTTCAGGGTGTTGAGTTTTTTGATGAAAAGCTTAATTCTTTGTGCATGGCTTGGCTGGTTGACCATGGTAAGTGCTTCAGATGTGCCAAGATAATGTTATTAATTATGTCTCTGTCTAAGTTCCTGTGACCGATTTAATCAGTCTGCAATTCTTATCATAATGAGCCTTAACGGGAACTGCAGTTGACATCACTGTTAGTTTGGGTTTCACAAAAGCGCTTTGATTTTGGCAGTTTTTTATGATAAGGCTGTATGGCAGCTCTAGGATTACAGATTTAAATGGCTGGAAATTTCCACGTATTCAAACGCTGAATTGAATAATTACATTTTTCTAAAGAAACTAGGGTTCAAAGCTTGTTCAGGGCTTGTGGTTAAGTATAGTAACCTCCTCTTTCAGTCATCTGACTGCAATAAAACAATACATTGAGAGAAAAATTTGTGCTATTAAACTGCCAAAAAAAACCAAGAAACATTGTGGGGGAGAAGGTAACATACTTGCCTTTTCCCTGATTTCCATACTGCAGTTGATCTATTTTTGCTGTCTCTTTTTCTGGAGATTTGCGCTTCCTCTATTTTCAAGTGATGTGCGCTTGGATTTTTGGTAGCCCAGTGCTTGATTGTAGAGGTGCACCGAAATGGAAATTTTAAAACCGAAATAAAAGTCAGGCCGATACCGAAAATGTTTTTTTCAATATTTTTATTGTTTACTTTTAGGGGCTTCGGGGAAATATTAGGGGTCTAAACAGACCCCTGATATTTCCCTTTTTAAAATAGAAAAAGAGATTGAGAACACAGAGTCCTCAATCTCTTTTTCTGTGTCCCCTGTTATCAATGAACAGGAATCCTCTGACTGTTCCTGTTCATTGATAACATGAGTACATTGTTTACTATAACTACAATTATGAATGAATGGGGGTGATGTAGATCCCATTCATTCATAATTGAGGATATAGTTAACATACCATATCCTCAATTATGTACACACACTCAGCGATCACTGAGTGTGTGTACCTTGCTTTTCTCTCTGACACGCTGTCACAGGAGGCTGATCGAGAGGTGTAGAGAGGAAAGCCCAGCCTCCTGTGACAGCGCTGTCTCCGCCCCCACACCGCTCTGCCGGACTGTGATAGGTGGCTGAGCGTTGTGGGAGGAGACGCCGGCCGCTCACAGCGCTCTCGTCCTGCAGCGCTCGGCCGGCTGTCACTTTCTTTTCTCCCCGCTGGAACAGCGGCCAGCGGGGAGAAAAGAAACCAGGGATGCGCCAATGTATCGGCCGAAACATGGCTCTTTCGGCATTATTCCAAAAGTGCCATTTTCGGCCGATATGTTTCGGCGCCGATATAGCGGTGCATCCCTACTTGATTGTGTTGCATAGTATGCCATGGCTTATTTATATCCACAGTATGCGCAGTTATGTTTGTATTACACAGAGCCTTTCATGCCTCCATCATTATTGTGAAGGAATAGTTTCAAACAGTTTAGCTATAAATTACTATTCACATGGCACGTCTCTGACAGGATGTTGTGTTTTTGTCTGGAGTCCCAGCAGCTTTGTGGGGATAAAGGCATTTCATGGAATTTCTGCTATCCCTGCTTAGTTTCACCAAAAACTTTGGTAGTTTGCAATGCTGGTGATTTCTATTTTATCTGATTTTAGTTGTTGTTTTTATAAAAATAGAACTAGAAAAAAAACAAAGGGTTAAAATGTAGGGTTCTTGGAGGCAAGGGGAATGTCACCGAGCCTCACTGTTGTCTCCTGGGATCGCTCGCTGCTCGAAATCCAGTGGAAAATGCAGTCTTGCAACTGACTCGAGTGCATTATCCAGGATTTCAAGCTTCCAGCTCTGCAGGAAGATATACAGTGATGTCCCCTCTGCCTTTCTGAAGTGGAAGCTAGGACTGAAGTAATTTCACCTCAGCAACCTGTTAACCAATGGCGAGGATTATGGGGCTCGCTATTAAGCAAGCGGCCCTTCCTTTTGACATGGACAATCTACTTTCATGAAAAATTACCATTTTAAGGATTATTTTTTTTTTTTTTTTTTAAGTGTATGCCATTCGAGAAGCAGCAACCAACAATCTAATGAAGCTGGTGGAAAAATTTGGTGCAGAGTGGGCTCAGAATACCATTGTGCCAAAGGTTCTGGCCATGGCAAATGATCCGAACTACTTGCATCGAATGACAACCCTCTTCTGTGTCAATGTAAGTATTTTCAATGAGAGCTGTCATTAGTTTCATGTCGGAGTATAATAAACATATTTTAGATTTGGATTGCTGATTACAAAATAAATGCACTTGAAAGCATCCTTTCCACTACAGGATGTAGTTGGGAAGTCACAGTTATCGCATTAAAAAGACGCAAAGAAGGAACTGGGTGTGTAGAGTTTATGGAGTGATGGCAAGAGCACACACTGCAAATTCTGGTGGTGGTGCCAGTAGAGGAAATCTGCCTGGGGTGGTAGTGAATGAACGAAGTCTGTCTAAACATGTTTCCACTTCAAGCCATTTAACATTGCTTTTTATCAGCTTTTCTTCATAGACAGGTGACATAAAGCTTGGATTTTTCATGTTCTTTTTATTTCACTCCTGGATATAGCATAGAGCCCCCCACTGCAATGGTTGTTGTCTCATGCCCAGAGTTGGTCTTTAATAACAGAAGTAATGGAACACAATTGCCACAGCTAGGAAAATATAGAGTGTATGCAAGAGTTGCCACACTAAACTGAATGTGATGAATCGGAGCCAAATCCCGAGTTTTCTAGATTTATTGGTAGCTAAATGATACGTAGCAAGAAATCGGAGGTTTTGCACAGATTGTTTCTTTAATGGACATAGTTGCATAACATTTATGGAGCACACTATAGAGAGGAAGGTTGAATATTGTATAAGCCATTAGTCTGTTTTTTAAAGTAAATGTTTTTTTGCAATGTGTTTTATCAACCTCATAGATTTGAATAAAGAGGTAATATGGAAGGAACTTGTCCTGCTAATGTATGTTATCTGTGTCTGCAGGCCCTGTCTGAAGCATGTGGCAAGGACATCACCACCAAGTTGATGCTTCCTATTGTATTAAAGATGGCAGCTGACCAGGTGGCTAATGTCCGCTTCAATGTGGCTAAATCACTACAAAGGATAGGACCAGTCCTAGATAGCAAGTATGTATCTATCTAATTTCCACCTGTGAACCAGAGCTAAATCTAATCTGCTGTATGTTAAACTCTATTGATGCCATCTTTTTTACTTTAGCACTTTACAGGCTGATGTAAAGCCCATACTGCAGAAGCTGGGCCAGGATGAGGATATGGATGTGAAATATTTTGCCCAGGAAGCAATGACTAGTAAGTATAAAGAACAGTCAAATATCTTTCACTATCATGTGTTCTATGTTGTAAAAGTTAAACATTAGTCTCATAACCAGGGAACAAATTAAGGAAGCTACATGTTCATTAATAATGTATTTTTTTGTTTAATGCAGCCAGTGTAAGAACCTAAATTTTGAAATGATTTCGGCCTTGTCCAATTCTAGTTTTCACAGCACTTTGGCTTAGGAGCCAGTCAGGTGTGGGGCTGGGAAAAAGAAGGGGAAGGCTTAGGAGCCAGTCAGGAGTGGGGCTGGGAAAAAGAAGGTGAAGTCTCAGGAGCCAGTCAGGAGTGGGGCTGGGAAAAAGAAGGGGGAAGTCTAAGGAGCCAGTCAGGAGTGGGGCTGGGAAAAAGAAGGGGAAGTCTTAGGAGCCAGTCAGGAGTGGGGCTGGGAAAAAGAAGGGGAAGTCTTAGGAGCCAGTCAGGAGTGGGGCTGGGAAAAAGAAGGGGAAGTCTTAGGAGCCAGTCAGGTGCGGGGCTGGGAAAAAGAAGGGGAAGTCTTAGGACCCAGTTTAGGTGTGGGCTGGGAAAAAGGGGAAGTCTTAGGAGCCAGTCAGGTGTGGGGCTGGGAAAAAGAAGGGGAATGCTTAGGAGGCAGTTAGGTGTGCTGCATGCGAACAAGGTACATGAAGAGGAAAGAGCAAAGGGATGACTTAATTGGTCTGCTGGTGCCCTTTCACTGTCCAGTGAGAGGAGGGGTGAAGAAAAGACACCGATGTACTTTCACTAAAGGTGACGTCCTTTAAATTTAAACTCTCCCTGTAATTGAAACCTCTGTGCATAATTTGCTAATATTACTCACCTTGGTATTAGCCTGTAGATGGACAAGTACTACAAATTTTCAATAGGCATGCAGCTTTCTGTTTTTTAGAGTTTTCATGAAATCACTCCCAGCACTCGTATACACCACTACCCCAAAAAAATGTGTTTTTTAGATGTTTTCTACATTGCTGTGTTGATTTTTATATATTTGGTTATCTTTTTATTCTTTTGCCTAATATGTTTGTAGAGTTCATGAAATCCATATGTTACAGACCATATAATAATCTCCTTTTTTGTCTCATTTGCAGTACTTGTCTTGGCATAGGAGGGTGCCAGGACCGTTCCCCAACCCCACTGTTCATTGAGTGTGTAGTAGAATGATTGTTTTAAGACTGCAGAACAACCTGTCAAGACCTCAAGGAAACAAAACGGCAACTACTGTTGGAAGGCCACATTCTCTGCACATGTGCCTCTTCTTCTAAAAGACTTTCTTTTTTATTTTCTTTAACTATTTTATTTATACATTTCCAGTTTCATGTCTTGGCATTTCTACTGCAGAAGTCTTATTTGTTACTGGTGGTGGTTATTGTATTAACAGTGTTAGTGGTTCTTGGCAATGGCAGAAACGTGGTCAGATTCCTATATCAGAGTTGAGGATTTTTTTTTTTCTGAGGCGATATGGGTGCTGATCTAGATGTAAAATTTGGATTCAAGAGGTCAGTTTAATCTGTATTTGCAAAGATACCGCTAGCTATTCTAGGGTAAATGAATTAATGAGGAACAAACTACACAATCTGACAAATCTTGGAAATGGCTTGCTATATTTTCATCTCTTGGAAAGATGTGGAAATTGGCAAAGTACATTTTTAGGATTTCTTCAGCATTTTATCTATTTGATGAGCATCTGCATCAATTGCAATTTCTAGATCCCCTTTCAGGAGTCCCTTAGACATTTAATTATTTAATTATGAAAGGGACATGAGTACTCCTATCTGCCTGAAAAAAAAGCAGCTTCAGTTCCCACAAATCAGCAGGCTTCTTAATAGATTCATGAAAAGTATGGTCACAGAATTTGAGGTTGATTAGACTTGCTTTCAATGCTGCTGAGCTAGTAGGTAGCCCAGAGTTGGAGAGTGGCTGCTGCTATAGGGGGATTGAAGCTGCTGTCGGGCTGGTAAAGGGAAAGGCGCTCTGGTTCTGGACAGATTTGTTTGCGTATATTCTCCATACTAAATTTGAGATTTCAGCTATTCGTATTGGAATAAGGAACATTTATAAAGGAATGAGTTTAGCAGCAGTGGTGTTTAAAAGTTCATGGTTGTAATATCCTTCACTTAACATGACTGTCTCGGCACTACTACGGAAAGTTGTTGCGCTAATTTGAGGAAACCATGAACACCAAAAACGTAATTATTACAAATGTGAGCAAAGGACATTGATTACTTGTTAATATGTATTGTTACTGACCTTGCATTGTTACTGACCTTGCTTTTAGAGTGCTCTTGACGATCTTTTAGAAACGGGGCTGTTGCATACTACTTCCACTGTAGCTATATGTTCTTTTAAAAGGACACAATCTCCCGGGACCTCCTTTCCTTTTAACTTTATTCGGTGATGTCACTACAATGAAATGCAATGGTCAATCCTTGTGTGCATCTGGCATGATCTGGGTGTATGCTTTTATAGAGAGGAGCAAATCATGTCTTTTAAAAACCCTGCCTCCTTGATGGCATTCCATGTTTGTGTGTTGTCTGGTCTGCTTTGCATCCCATTGCCTGAACAAATGTCACTCCTGTTTTAAAAAAAACAAATTGAAGATTTCTTTGCAGGCAATGAGCATGCACCTTAATCATCTCAGAAAAGCATTTTATTAAAGTGTAAAGTTGAACTGATCTGTCTTGTTTTGGGTCCCTCTTTTAAGGGATAGCTTGATGTTGACTGTAGAAATTGTAATGTAAGTGCTTGACAAAAAGGAAATAAACGTTTACCCTTCAATATCAATGTCTTGTATTGTAAAATGTTTGGCTGCTGGAGTTCTGGTATCCCACTGCTGTCTGGTTTACCTGTTATATCTGGTATTTTAGCCTAGGACTGCTTTCTGTTGCCTTGGTGCAAAGACAATGGGGGGAATTTATCAAAACTGGAGCAGTTGCCCATGGCAACCAATCAACTGCTCTCTTCAGTATGTTCAGTTAAAGGAGAACTATGCGGTTAGTGCTTTTCCCCATCATTCTCCTTAGGGTAACGGGAGGACACAAACTAGCGTCCTCCCGTCACCCTAAGCTCAGTATACCGCGAGCTACAGCTCGCGGTATACTGAGACGCCACAGCTGATGCGGATCCCGACAATTATGTCTGGATCTGCCCAGCTGCTTGAGTGACAGCTGGCTCTGCCTATCTAGAGGCAGAGCCAGCTGTACCCTCCCCCGTCCGTTCCGCCAGTCAGCGCTGGCAGATCGGAGCGGGGAGAGGGGAATCCAGTCCCTCCCCTGTCACTGCAGCGAGCCGTGACAGGTTAGAGAAGTGAGCGAACGCCGGTATGTGTTCGCTCGCTTCCGACCTTCCGCAGCCGACCTGTGACAGTCTCATTGTCACAGGTCGGCTAGAACTATGAGGTGAGTGAAAAGCACTCACCTCATAGTTCTCGTTTAAGATTTGAAAATGAATGAGTGAAGCTGATTGGTTGCCATGCACAGCTACTCCAGATTTTGTCTGCTCCAGTTTTGATAAATCCTCAATCATACAAATCCTCTTTTATTGTATTCATATTGATGCAGACATCTAGACATTTTTTTTTTTTACTGACATGTTGCAATATACAGCAAAAAAACACGCAGCACTAGTCATGTGACTTCCCAGGGTGACATGTCATCGGTCTGCTGCAGGTGAGGGGATGCATTTCCTCCATCTATTCTCCCCCAGATCAGACTACAATATAATAACTTGGTAGCTAGTCACAAGGTGAGAGGCTGGCACAGGTCACTAACCTGTTTCGGATATTTGTTAACAAAGCTCAGAAATTTTGCATCATTGTGCCATTTCTAAACCATCTCAGTTCAGAAAGTACATCCTGACTCTGGATGATGCCTGAAAAAAAGATAGCGCTGCCCTTCTGGAATGAAAAACATATAAAGGCATTGTCAAGTGGAATGCTGTGACCTGCAGGATGTAAGAACTATCTCTAAGTTAACATTCATGCGTTTAGCATAAAAAATAAGCTTGGTCCACTTTAATTGGCAACGCTCCAGAACAAATCTATCTCTGAAAAGAGGACATTTTGGTATTTGCCCCCCAATGGATGATGTAGGGAATTTACAATACAGAATGAGGACTCGGGAATTCTTAGCGTTTCCTAAACAGTCAGGATAAGCTGTTGTCTGCAGGAGAAATGGACACTTTTGGACATTAAAAAAAAAAAAAAAAAAAAAAAAAAAAAAAGCAGTTGGCCAACAAAATTACCCTAACAATGGGTCTTCAGGAGAACTGAACATGTTCTTCAGCTTTCCTGTTCTTTGTTCATCAAGACCTATGAATGCTTCTTGCCCTTTTCGGCATCATTCAACGTTTGCAAGGGTACAACTTGGTGGTTCCTTCTTTTTTTTTTTTTTTTGTTTTTCCATTTTTGAAATAAAAAAAAAAATTTTTTTTTTTTTTTTGTATTTCCATGTTTGCAATAAAATTTGTGAAAACTCTCACCATGTTTATTTTGTGTTCCCATTGACAGTCATTAATGTACAATGCGTCCAGATCTTTAGCCTTCTCAAATCTAGTTTTCAACTGATGCAATCTTCCAGTAAAGTACAAACCGCGTTAGTGGCTTGCAAAAGTAATCCCCTTGGCATTTTTTCTATTTTGTTACATTGCAACCTGCAATGAAAATAGATTTTTCGGGGGTTTGTATCATTTTGATTTACACAACATGCCTGCCCCTTGAAAGATGAAAAAAATATATATATTTTATTGTGATGCAAACAAGAAATAAGACAAAACAGAAATCTTGTATTGTGTAAATGTTGACTGGTTCTTGTGATTGAGAGCTTTGGCCAGCTTCTCACTGACCATTCGTGAAATGTGTATAAGTGTTCACACCCCTCTTCCTCAAAAAGTCAATACTTTGTAGAGCCACCTTTTGCAGCAACTACAGCTGCAAGTCTCTTGTGGTACGTCTTTATAAGCTTTGGCACATCGAGCCAGTGGGATTTTTGCCCATTCTTCAAGGCAAAACTGCTCCAGCTCCTTCATGTTGGATGGGTTTCACTTGTGTACAGCCAACTTTAAAGGAGAACTATGAGGTGAGTGATGCGGGCTGACGTGTGACAATTAAACGGTCACATGTCGGCTCTATAGATCGGGAAGTGAGGGAACGCGTACAGTGGCTCACTAACTTTCCTTCATCTCCCTGCGGAGAGCAGTGACTGCAGTCACCACTCCCCGCAAGGATTCTCACCCTCCTAGCTCCGATCCTCCAGCACTGAGTGGAGGAACAAACTGGGGAGTGGGCAGGCACAGCTGGCTCTGCCTCTAGATTGACAGAGCCCGCTGTCAATTATCCAGCTGGGTGGATCTCAACAGCATTGTCAGGATCCGTCCCGGCTGCGGCGCTCTCAGTATAATAGCTTGCTGTAGCTCGCTATGTACTGCGCTTTGGGTCACGGGAGGACGCTAGTATATGTCCTCCCATGACCCTTAAAAGAACGATGGCATAAAAAGGTTACCCCATAGTTCTCAAGTCATGCCACAGAATCTCAATTGGATTGGGAAGGAGAAGCAACAGGAGGAGAGGAGAACAAAAAGGGGGGGGGGGGGGGGTTAAGGTTATCCCATTGAGCTCCCCGGTGTGAGCGCAAAGGTGAACCAGTTGATAGAGTGGGATGGAACACATTGGGTAGTCAGCTGGGGGGATTATGTTGACTTCTTTTTGTTGCCAATGTCCATTGCTCCTGTAGGTGGCAGTATAACCCAACAGTCTAAGAATTCTACGAATGCCTGTGTCCCTCAATGGCTTACAAGATTACGATTTTAAGGGGAGTATAAATATCCTATTTTCTGCACTGTTTCGCTTACTTTACTACATACTTTACATCCCATATTTTGCACTGACACATTCTGTACACAGATCTGTAATTAGCTCTTTATCACTCCCGCGTCCTTTTTAGTCCATCACCTGCCATGGTAATTAGAATCTTGAATAATAGTTTTTTTCGCCACCTCTTTGGGGGAAGGGGGGGCGTTACTATGGGGCCATGTGAATTCTAGTTGCACCCCTGGCTGGAGGTAATGTAAACAAACACCCAGCCAATATATGCTGTAGGCCTGTTTATGCAAGCAAAATTACTGTAATGTGTAAGTTACGGTGCATTGTGGTCCCATTAACTTTTAATGCCATCCCAAAAAGCTACTATATTAGCAGCCTATGCACTTGCAGTGCACCACAACACGCATGCTGTTGGTTATACATTTTTTTGTGCCTTTCAGGTAAACTGTCAGCCAATGCAAAATGAAATTCTGCCATAATGCACCTCTCCATGTCAGAGTAACACAACGCTTAGCGTGAATGGGCCCTAAACATATTTTTTCAGGTTGTGAGACTAATCGAAGAAAGGTGTGACAAATGAATTTTATGCTTGATCAGACCAATGAGAATTTATACTGTGGCATGAGGGTAAAGGCCTGTTGAAAGCCTTGCTTGAATCTTGTAGTATGCCTATTCTAACCTGGGTTCTTCTGTATCAGTGT